TAAAGAAAAAAATGTCTGGTTCGGTGGGTGTCCCTTATTGGAGGATCAGTTTCATACTATAGTATATTTTAGTTGATCTTTGAAATAATGTGACAAGATGATTATCATTTTGCTATATTTAATTACTTGAAACAAGCCGAATTCAAGTTTTTGTTATAAATTCCCAGTCCAATCAGTATGTTTTTATCTTATTGTGACAACTAATAATTATCAATTCACCATTTTATTTACTAAACTAACAGTATATTGTTTCACATTAGAAAACTTTCGAAACTGAAAGCAAAAGCACAAAAACAATTTACAGAAGTAGTATTAAGAGGCCCAAAGCAATGATGGCAAACGGCAGGCCAAAAGCCATTTATTTATCAAGCTCATTTTTTACTTCTCGGAATAACATTTAAAGTAGGTCCGAAGGGCTTAATAGCAAACGAAATGACAATCCTACTGAACCCACAGATGCTCTGTAGTTGGAATCCATAACCATCGTCGGGGAAGGGGGAATCTAGTAGTTTTGGCTCATATGTCAGTTATTTTCACGGCTTCGTTTTTATACAGAGGGACTAGTGTCAATCTGTAAGGAAACCAAAAGAAACTTTAGGAAGGACGCCCAAAGGAAAATTGGTGAAATATGTGTTCTTGCAGTGCAATTAAAGTCTCAAGGTGAATCTCATAATTTTTTATGTGGTCAGTGAGCCAGAATACATCCGCTGCTTGTATTGCCGGGCTGCTTTATTTGGTGCCGACTGAAACATGATTTCAGTTTCAATCCTCTGCACAAGAAACACTCGGTAACCTAGACTATCCTGGCAGTGATCATGGGGTACCGACACGCAGTGATGTTCCTACGAAGAATTAAATTTGATCTATTACAACTAAATCTATTACAACTTAAATGTGTTTTATTAATTGAAGCTATGTACCAAAAATGAGTGAACAGTGTAAAAAAAGTTAAGAAGAAACCACATGATGTTTGGTAGCTGAGTTACAATGATGTGATGATCATAGATATTAACGTGAAATCAAATTTTACGGCATAGATTTTGAATTATTTAATGTACTTCATTTAGCCTCTGGCCATGCAGAATGTCAATCACCAGTTCTCGAAGTTCAGATATTCAATATAGCGAAAGAAGTGGTACATAGTCTCAGGGACATATTTTGATCGTTTAATTGTTTTGAAGACAACTGATTCTATAATGGCAGAGATTTTACTCATAATATGGTAAATATCTCAAAGAAGTATTGATTTATTTTGAAGATTATCCATGGCGAGTCCCTTCACTCATAGAGCTAAGGAAGTATCAAAAAATTACTTGCTAATTATGACAGTGAAAACGTACTGTACTGTGTTCTTGGATTCAAGATAAAAACACTGGACGACGGTATGAGGAACTATATTTCGTGCAGCGTATGACGAATTTCATTCTTGAAGTGAAAGACACACGACGCTTTCTTTGGATGCAAAAACTAAAGTGGGTCTTAAAGTATCGTTTTTCCCTCAAGATATTTTACGAGATTTTCAGATGGAGAAGAATAAATCGAAAAAAATATTAAGATAAAAAATATTCAAATAATGAAAACGGAGAAACAGATCGCCTTATCCAAAAGAAAGAGTCTACTGCACAAAAGCGAAACACGATGAGATGATAATTCTCGCAGAAGAAACATAAATGATGATGAATAAATATATACCAAAAAGGCTATCAATTATTCTGCTTACTACATCTGTTTGAAGTAAACCATTTGTGCCTACACGTGCATGAACTGTTGCAGTAACGTTCATGCCGCATGTTAATATGAAAAAGAATGATAGAAGCGAGAAAAACGGAATTTTATAATGTTAATATTTTGTAAATTCACTTTCTTCAATACTGTAAAATGTTGTAGAAGATCGATCCATGTAGTCGAAATTTAATCTGTGAATTTGGATCAAAGAAACGAAAATGGAATCTGACAAAACATTTCCTCTTGCACTGTCCCAAACGTCGGCCACTGTGTGAGTTTCTATCCTAGATGTCAACAAAAGGAGAGTGTGGATCGCTCATTTTGCTGGTAGTTACGTATAACAGGCAATGATTTTATTAACTTAGACCTTCTGAGGGAATGTTAAATTAATTCTCTGCTGGAACACAATTCACCTGATATGCATTGCAAGGACGTACTAAGCGAGGCGTTCCTGGCTACTAAATAACTACTCACTCAGCCACTTCTTGTCATTTCACAGGTAGCGATTAAAGGTTCGCGAGGTGTATATGCAAGAAACTGTGCCGGTATCTGAAATCTTTTCCATAATGCGATTCCAATCTAACTTGTAGCAATAACTAATTTAGTGATCATCTCTCTTTTGTTCTGTAGAAAATAACTTTTATCTTCCCTTTCATAATTCTTACTTATTTATAAGTAAGTTTCCAATAAAAGCCTTTTCCATTTTTGTCGAAGAAATACTTGTCATTCTATATAATTCTACTGTACTCATATATTAACAGACATTTCATATTTGGACTTAAAATATCATTCTTTCTATATACATTACATACTTTTTCCGATTTTCTCGTATATTTATTTCCAATATGGTACAACGTCTTTCTGTCAGTTCAGTGTATTGTATTGGAGTGTGCATTAAGGATGCTTGTAGAGTTTTTATAAATTTTATAATGAAGCTTATTATAAGGATTTGTAAATATTAATACTGTGCATTCTGCTGTAGTACGGCAGTGATTTGTTCGGATAATTATCCTGTTGGCATAATTATCTGTGCATTCATATTATACTCATATATATTCGCATTAAATGCGCATTATATTCCTATTAAATACGTATTATGTTCGTATTATATGTGGATTCGCATAATTTTATTGTGAATAATTATATTATTCGAGAAATTATGTTTATGAGCAAAATGTTATAATGTTGTTCTGTTGCATCTTGTCAAAGCCTTTTCTTATTTTTTTAGACTTGTTTATCTCCCGCAAGTTTTTTACCATTCTCAAAAGTACTATTAGTTACATAATGCAACTATGGCCTCTTTCCTTCGGATTCCTTTAATCTAGTTTTGTCTTCATGATTGCAACATCCAGTCGCTAAGGGCATAGCACCTCTTTTAGTACTCTCATCCAGCATTTTGCCGACATCGGAAGAATATAGATATTTGACTGTATATTTACATTAACATGGCCGTCTGGTGGAGCAGCGATCGAATCAATGACGAAAGTAAAAGAAAAGGAAGCTTTCGCTTTCGAATGTCTCTATAAAAACCTGTTAAATGTGGCTGCATTTCAAACGCCTTCAGATTTTCAACACATGAAGAATACTACAAGAATATTTGCAACCGCAATATTCGAAATCGAGAACTTTCGTGAAAATTCTAATGAGCTGATACGTATATGGACCCTCATTGCCAGTGAATTTAGAACGAAACTTTAGAGCAAGTGTCTATCTCTCTGGAATTTATAAATGACAGACAGTTTGAATTGAGTCGTTGGGCATGATTTCTTAGATATCTGACCTTTTATCTCTGCAGTTCTACCTGCTGAACATTTCTTAGTGATATGATATTCTCTCCAAGGAGTAGCAACTGCAGTATGGAAACATTTTTTCTCTCACTGCAGGCAGGCATTATCTTTCCAATTTCCTAGACCCACTGTAATACAGCTCTGAATTCTCACTTATGAGTGACTGGAAACTTAGATGGTATTAAGGAAACTCATCCTCACTTAAATGAACCTACAAAACAAGAAACACTTAAATGTACTACCAACAAAACTTTAGCTCGTTGTTTTGTAGCAAGGATTTGCTTTTCGTTAATTTTAAACAGTTTTTTCTACCGTTGAAAATAGCAAATCACAAATCAGAAACAAACTAGCTGATAAGCTATTGTCAAATATCTTTAGTATTAAAATATAAAAAATATCGTTAGATTTCAAACCAGCTGACAAGAAATTTCCAAATTTCTGCAAATTTCACTGCAAATGACATATGAAATCATTAAAAAAAATAAATTATGTTATTAAAATTATTAATAAATTCATAATCATTGTTATTGGAATGAGTTTTTAATTTCAAGTACATAAATTTTAAGCGCACAATTATAAAACCAATTATAAAAGTTTTTATAACTGCAGACCGCTGATGATTTGGTAGCCCTTGAGGAATTTTAACTGGCCAGCATTAGACTACAGTATATTTCTGGTATTATTTATCATTACACATTGAGAAGAAAACTGAATTTTCGTTACAACAATTATTTCAAGCTCCCATGTTAATGGTATTGTGCGTTGACATAGACGATAAATTGCAAATTACATTATTTCTGTATCAGAGTACTTAGCTTCAAGAAGAGTAATGACAAGATACCCATGTGGATCACCATTTGCAGAAAACTGTATTGGGACAAAAACTTCGAAATGCAACAATTATATTAATAATTTGAATCTAATTATAACGAAAATCGTCCTTGTCATAAAGTTTTGAATCTGCCAAGCGAGACAACCTCCTATCAAGCAAAAAATATACATCCAGATTGAGAGTGTCGATGTTAATAAAATTCCTGTTACTGATATTTTTTGATGTTCCCGGGGCATTATTTGCTGTAGCTGGAGGTAGTTTAAGAAACTAGAGGTAAACGAAAATTATCTTGAAATGGCTGAGATAAGGTAAAATACACACATTTTTAAATTACTTCTGTTAAAATATCGATCCATTATTAAAATCCCTTATAATTTATTTAAAGAATATGATTTGAAAAATTTGGAATAGTCATAAGGAAGCGAGAGCTAGCAGTTAAGGACAAAAAAATGCGATTTTATCTCTAAATTTTTAAGGGTTGTTAGATTTCATTACTAATTATCATGAAAAATGTTTGGACTTTATTAATATTACTTCATAGATAGAAATATAAATTTAAAATATGAAAAATACTTAGTTTGAGACAATTGTGTAAAAAGGATAGAATTACATAATTTTGTATGGTATTCGGAAGAAATTTTTGACAGTCTACTTACCTTTGGAAGAGCCGCTAGTATCTGGTTTTTTACGTCCCATATCAGTTCCTCTCGATTGAACTGCATGCATTTCTAAAAAAAATTGTAAACAATACGTCACAATCTTTAAAACTTATAACACGCCAATTTATTTATTTATTATTTATTTATTTATTTTGTAAATTTTATTTTGTTTTCAATAACGTACTAATATCATTTGAAAATATAATATGCAATTAATTGTGTGCTATAAAAATGGTCAGAATAATAAAATATGATATAAATAATATAATTAATGATAAAAATTCAGTGAACATGAAAATGAATGAACTTGAATATTTAAAAATAATTATAGAAATATGGAAAACAAAATTGGTATGTTATTTCAGAAAAAGTCCGATTTTGTGTCAAAATACCTATGTTAGATTAATGCTATATATACATCTAATATATATCCTAAGTCGCGTTTTCGAGACATGAAAAACGCAATTTGAATTTCGTCAATCGGCCCAGTAGAACGGGAGATACAGAACTGTCCTTTCGTTTTCTTTTTTTCGCAGTGTACCTGACTTACACTCTGTAATTTAACATATGTGTAGTAAAGTTTAAGTATCTTAAAAAAGTCCCACAGTAGTATACATAAAAATTGCAAAATTAATGGTATCTAAACAAAACAATGAAACGATTTCGACAATAGTGTGAAAACTTTTATCTTGTCACTTTTAATTTAAGAATACATTTTTCCCAGAAGTAAAAGATATGCAGAAACGTTAATAATACATATATTCGCATTGAGTTTCTTTCGCATAAGATTCTATTTCAAAATTCAAAGACAAGGCTATAAATTTACTTAATAGATACAGAACTCTGAATCCTGCAAAGGAAATAAAAAGAAGCATAAAATATGAAATTTGCACTTACAATTATGCGCGGGTTTGCATTATTTTAAAGTTTCTCAAAGTACCATGAAATACAATAGAAGTAAATTCAGGAAAACGAATCGCTCTGAAGAGCGATCTGAAATTGGTAAATTTTGGGATTTATCAACAACAAATACCAAGATCCAAAAGGCTCCTTTTAAATAATTAACTAAGTTTAAAAATACCTGTGAATAAAAATTCTCAATTTTTAAAAGCTGCTTCAAGCGAATTAAAATAGTGATACAACTAAGCATGTACTAACATCTGACAGGGTTAGGTTGCACAAAGACAAAAGCAAGCAATATGGGGTCATAGCAATACGGGGTCGGGAAGGCTGTTCTCATCTGTTACTATATGGTAAGGCAGCAAATGAGGAATCTGCACGTAGTAGAACAATGTGCTTTTGTTATCTACAACAGATTTTCGAAATGCACTGGTATTGCATAAAATGTTCAAAGTAGCGATCATTAACTAGAATAAATTCTAAACATCACCGGCGCATGAAATTACAAATATTTTTGGAAAATTCCCAAGTGCCTCAGTCTGTCAAAGCAGCAACAGGGATATTTTCTAAGATTCTCATCCTTTCACTTGGTGTGACGTGTACCAGCCCTTTGATGTAACCAAGGTCAGTAAACAAACAAAGCTAAGCTTTTCCCAGCGCTAACGTCACTTGCTTGCAGAAGTGGGACAAAGCGAGTAAGAAATTGGTTTGAGTAGCTTAGAAGTCAGTGACGTCATCAATATCAAACCTTATAGTATAGTAACTTGAAGGTAGCACCAGAAGAAATAATGAAGGCATGTTAAGCAAATTTCAGTCACCCTACTATCTCTGCAACTGGTTTACAAATGACGGAATCCGGAAAGTTGTATGATTTTTCTCGCGGCCGAACAACATCATTACCGCGATGCATGACGATATTTATATAAGCAATAATTGCTGTATGATACCGATTTGTTATTTGTGTAGCTTACCTCTACGAGAAGTTTGTACATTCTTAGTTGAATCATCCTGTGCATTAGTATGAATTAGGATTATAGGATCAATATCCGTCTAAACGAGTCCCATTTATGGGAACTGAAGGAAGCAGTTTGAGCAGAAAAATGGAATGTATGAAAGAGTGATCCATCCATTCTCAGATCCCAGGGAATATCAACTTATCATAAGATAGTGTTTTTTTTTTTCCCTGATCGCCTTTTCCTCTAAGGTTGGAATATAGGTTAATTTCAAAAACCTTAAGAGCACACAACAGTCACCAATTTAGTGCAATCAATACATGCTTTTCAAACTTATAATTTGTGTTTAAACTTTATAATTTATGAATTAGCATCTGGCTCAGTTGCCTACATTGACTGTCACGTTTTTGAAGTAACATGAAGGTAACAATGTATCAATCAGTATTTAATATAGATAATATTACTACATTATTTCATACCATCGATTGCTTTTATTTGAATGAAAATGCGAGATACCCCTTAGCAAGAACATTATAGGACAATAGCTTGACATTCCGTTTGAAGGTCTGACATATAACGTATGAAACTTGCACACTTTGTATGATATACATGATCGTTTTCTGGAACATCGTTAGAATGTTCCAACGTAAGCCATTGAATTGATCCAAGTTCTTTCATCTCTCTCTTCGAAACTCCAACTATTTGTATAATGGAACTCCCGGCATGCCACAACGGCATCAAGCTCCTTAACGTGTACAGTTCGCTAAGAAATGTAAGCAAGCTTCTGATATTTTTGATTAAATTTTACTAACAGTTAGCTTTATGTTGATTTACTTCTTATATATCTTGGCTTAGCACTTCGTTTACTCAGAACAGCGGTTTATGCAAATTTTGTGGAAAGCGGCGCTAGAATACAGTCTTAACCAGCCAAAGCTCAGTGGAATTCCCTCCCTTTGCCGTTCCGCCTTGCCGACAGGCAGCCACTCGGACAGCAGAAGATTAGAACTGTCGAACTTTAAACGAGTTCGTCTGCATGGTCTTCCCAGTCATCTGGTTAATTATCAGCTATTTTGTAATGGGTAGTTATCAGAAATTAATATTCAAATCTTAATGGGTAGTTATCAGAAAGTAATATTCAAATCTAAATCTGCATAATTATGCAAAATATTCAAATCAACTGAACATTAATAATAAGCAAAAGGCGATATATATTTTTTATTAATATTTAAACACGAATTTCAGTACATTGGAAAGGACAATAAAGTTAGTTTTCTTTTTAATTCCTTGAACGAAGTAAAAGAAATATTGTAATCGCTAAAAATTTCAGGTATCATATTTCAACGGAAATATACATTTTGACCGCTATCGAATGCAATTTAAAGGGGTTTTTTACGTGACATCTGTACATAGGACAGAAAAAAGGACTCTTTTACCCAAAACGCGTTGCAAAATGGATTTAAAATGATTCAGAAGAGATTTTTGTGACATCTGTATGTACATCGCATAATGCCTTAGAACGTTGAAATTTAATACATAAGACTGCTATAACATGTAGTTGTGCAACTCTCTTTTTGGTTGCAACCGGCACCAAAAGTATGTAAATATATATGTAATATTAAAAGCACAAGGAAAAGCCGGAACACTGTGGATGCGTGATTAGACCCATATTGAAGAAGATTTTGATTGCGTAGTATGCTAGTAATGCTAACTTGGTAACATCTAAAGAACTTGGCAGTCGAGGCAGTTTTAATTCCATTTTTTATTTCCAATTGATATTTGTGGCCACAATCACTTGGCACTCTAGTCGTGCCTTTCCACAGAAGATTTGATATTGTTGGAATAGAAAGCAAGCCAGCGAAATCACATCTTAGACAGTAGCGAGCAAAAGCTGAAGTGCGTAGTTATGAAAGATGGAAGCACGCGAAGAAAAAAGTTTCGGTTTGCAATTTGGTGATTGGTCGAGAAGGATCTGCATTATGGGTTAAGTAAGATCAATAAATTTTTAATTTTTAGAGTCCTATTGAATTTTTCAGCATTTCAGTGCAAAAGTCTTTTTGTTTGAGAGTTCACATAATCATAATTCTTCAGGGAAGGTTCTTGTTATCGCAGAATATCACAAAATAAACTTTTACATAATCATTACTTATAATTTAATTGTAATGCACATAAATATTTATGATACTTATTTCTATATGATAAATTATAATTTAACATGATAAATAATAGGATTAAGATTTTCAGAATTTATGGTTTCACCGTTATCATCTTTCATTTACAATTCCTGATTTTACCAAACTGGAAGCCTCGCAATACTTCGAAACAAACATATCCATCAATAGGGCTGTCCTCTTGAGCTAACCAGTGTGTCCTCTGCACTGGTGGCCCAGGGTGCCTAGACAGTTACTTGAAAAGGCCTCCGTTCCTTGCATTAAGGTAACTGACCTTTGAGAACTGCACTAATACATTCCATAATAAAAAAATATAATAATATAAAAAAATTGCAAACACTCATAAAATGAGAGCCTCCAACATTATCTTGCATGAAGAGGGTAAAAGGAACAACTGTACAGAGGTAATAACAGGCCTCTGTTGAAGGAACCAATACTCCCTCGACATACAATATACTTAACATACAATCACCCATAAATTTAACATGCATTTACCATAATTTCATATTACGTATCTGTAATAATTTTACTTATTTTTAACATCTTTATTTTTAGAATAATTATAAAAATTCGTATTAAAAATCTCAACAAAATTTCAAAAAACATAAAAAAACTTATCTTAATATCCTTCCTCTATGAATAATTTAAATAGCTTAAAAATTCGTTACTTAATTTTGCTCACACATAATTATGAAAAATAGAATAATTAATGAACAAGAATTTCAGATTTTCTCAAAACAAATTGCAGAAATTTTAACCAAAGTTGAAATGAAAACTATAGAATTCGCAGCATATTAAATAATTTAGTTTCCCGAGCTAGGTTCACACGAATGTAAATAATTTTTGAGCTGTTGAAAAAGCGGAAAGTGCAAATAATTTTCTGTCGCACATACTTGCAAACACTAACTCAGATCGACCTTGAACCCGCTGTAATGCTTAATTCCAAAACGGTAATTGCACTGATGATTTCCTTTTCACTAGGCGTTCCGAACTTCTCAATTTATCGAGAGATTACTTTCAATCTGTAAACATTACGCGTGATTATTTT